TTTTCTGCACATGCATTTGAATATAAATTTCTGAGATTTTAAATCTGTTATTTTACCTTAATTTTAATTAAAAAATATTTTAAAACCTGCTGATTACCTATAGTATAATTAAATTTCAATATAATGCATGGCAACTTTTGGTAGTTTTGAAGTTTATATATTTTCTTGGCATACTTCAGTTTTTGACGGGTTTTTGACGGTTTAAACCAGTATTATACCCTTGTCATGTCAAAAACCACTTTTTGACGTCAAAAACCCAACCCTGCTGCTAGTAAACCTAAAACAAAACCTAACTATATTGTAATAAGCATAGTACATAACACCTTCATTTGTTAGAATTAACAGCAGGCATGTATGCATATTTGTTAAGAACCAAGTTCATTTTAATTTAAGAAAAATTCAAAGTAATTGTAAGCATAGCATACTTTGGTTCAGCCAAAAAGTATCAAATCAGAATCCTCAGTAATTGTCAGCTGTGTCACCCCTATTTTGTCTAAGTAAGCCATTTGTGCATCTGCTTCATATGGAGCAACAATACAATCAATAGATTTCTTTTTACATGCCTATAATAATATTTTGTTATTTGCAAACATATCAACAAAACTTTAAATAATAATAATGAAAAATATGTAGCCAATACATGCACACAGAAATAGCAGATTTGTTCAGATTATCATTCAGAAAAAAATATCAGAATTTGGTAATAGTTTCTGACTATATCATGCTTTTTAAGTAGTTCAGATTAAACTACAAATTATTTCCTTCTTTAAGTTTTTAAATTGTAAACTGACAATTAGTATACATGAAATTCACACTAACATACCTCCAATTACCATTTCCTCTTGTTCGGAAGTTCAAAATCTCTTTTAAATTAATTATTATAACATTATATAATCATAACTTTATTATAATAAATAAAATATAAATACATTCCTGGGTGTTGAAAGTGCTTAATTTTTCAAGGGGACAAAATTAAAATACACATTCATATTTCTTTTTCAGAGGCACAACAGCCCTACGTGGGCCCTGGCGTTCTCCAGAAATCTTTCTCATACGTCTCTTTGTTTGGTAACTGTCCCTCAATTTTCCGTTTTCAGAATTTCCATTCTTTTTGAAGATCGTTAATCCATCTAAGGTGAGGTCTACTATTTTTGTTGATCCTATAGGCTTAAATAGAAGTTTTTGGCAGGTTTGATCTTTCTGAATTCTAACCAGATATCCAGCTTTGGATTTTCAAGTATTTCACGACAACACGCTCTTTAAAGATTTTATATAATTTTGAATTTGTTCGGCCTCGCTAAAAGTCGTCTAATTGAGTTCAACTACAAATACTTATTATATATCTCTTAAGAAATTAAAACGCTTGCGAATCTCACAGAGTTAGAGCCTACATGCATATAATCAAAAATATCTTATATGTGCTTTAAATAAAATTTAAAAAAAAACTTTAGTTTTTAATTTTAGAAAACTAGACTTCATATATTTTTTAGGATAGTGAAAACATCGGTTTGCATATTAGTTCTCTAAATTCAACACATAACCAAAAGTATTTTTTAATTACTAACCTAGGGTTGGCAAGTTTTTGACACATGACGGTTTTTACCGTCATTTCCGTATCGTGATCTACGCCAAAATTTGGCGAGATCCCTACGAGTGCCTGCGGGGAGTTTTTTGAGGGGGCGTGGCCAAGAACGGCAAAAATGACGTTTTCACAAATCGTCTGGAGTGGGATGGGCTTCATGATGTAGGAGTTGTTTGAATTATGAAAGAAACAAACCTGATCCTTTCTCCCTTTGGAGATTACTGGAAACTAAACAAATATAAAAACAAAGACTTAGTTTTAATTTAGGAAAAGAACAATCTTTTAAATGAGTATATTTAAAAAAAAAGTTTTTTAGTATTTCTTTTAAAGTTGCTAATTATTGATTAGCAAAATACGTTTAAAACAAAACCTTTATTCTAACTCATGCTACACTGTTCTGACAATTCAATTATTGTAATTAAACATTCAAGAAGAAGTAATTATAATTTTAAAAATAAATTCTTGTTACATATTATTCTAAATTGGTGAAGTTTTTCTAAAGAAGGAAATAGATTTAAAAAACAAATCTCGAGTTAATTGAACTAATTAAGCACTTAATATTATTAATAAAAACGTAAACTAAGTATTTTCTTTAATGAAAATAAAGTTCAAACTTATTGTAAAATTACTTACCAGCTCTTTCAATGAAATTATCCTTAGATATATAAATAAATCACGGCTGTATTGAAGGAAAAGGAAAGACATAAATAAAAATGTCCGGGGGGGGAGGAAGTAGGCATATTCATATTCTTGATTTTCAATTATCGGATCACAAATTTATTAAGTTGATTATAAATAATTTATAAAATACTTGGTGAATACAGTTTTTAAAAGCTTAATCTTTTGCTCGGCATTGACTTCATGTTAAAAAAATAATAACTATGCTTTAATTAAAATGCAGAAGGGTAATTTCTAAAAAATGAAATTAAAATTATTAGTACTGTCGAAGTTATAATTCGAAAATTGAAATAATAAAATTTAGTTAAAAATGCCAAACGTTATAACATAGGGAAAAATTACACGTGAACATGCCTATTCAACATTATAGCAAAACTGAATGACAGTTTTAAATACGGTGATATGATCTCAGATCTCGGGGTTTCAATCATAACAAACGCATTTTAACATAAAATATATTTAATAACAAGAAGGATGATGATGATGGTACAGTGTTATGGAGGAAACTGATTAGAAACTAATGATTTTAAATTACTGCGCAGAGCGCCATCTATTGAGC